TTGTGTCTTGGCCTTTGGTACTCCCAATGCCAAAATCAACGTCATTTCACACAACTAACACTTTTCTTTGGCCCGCTGTTCATTTGACACAGACTGGCCTGCTGACCCAAGCAAGTGCGGTGGTTGAATGGTATAAGATGTCAGCACCAGTATTGAAGCAGGAAGTTGTGGGTTTGAGTACCACTTGAGCAAGCTTGTGCATTTTGTCACAAGTTCTCAAACAACGAGAACAGAGCCTGTATCAGGGGTGTGAGTGGCCACTTAAACTTAAAGCTGCAAACAGTTAGCAAAAAGCTGAAATCTGAAAAGTTCCCATACTTTTGTACAGACCAGGTGTACAAAAAAGCGGAAATTCAGGGTCAATATCTAAACAAAAAAAGCTGAAATCAGCTAAAAAGCTGAATTCTCACTCCCTTGCTATATACATAATGGCGAAGGGCTAAACACCCAATATAAGTATTGGGTTTGAAATGGCTGTACTGGCTTGATTGGCCAATATTAAACAGTTATTTGGAATCTCATGCAGTCAAATAAACAAAAAATTAAGAAAATAAAAAAAACACAAAAAACAAACAAATGAGAACAAATTCACAATGTCATTGGACGGTACAGGAACAAAATATTTATTCAGTCTAGGAAATTCATTTCTCAATATTAAAACAGTAACTTACATTCACAGAAATATTAAATCGTGCCCCATGTTGCGGATACTTTTCTCTTCAGATATAAAGAGTGAAAATTTGACTTTTCGTGGGGATTTACTTGTTAGACCTGCTGCAGTAAATTCTCACCAGTATTAAAGGAAGTCATTGAATCGAATATCTAGGAGAATACAAATTTTTTGGATGGTGCAATTCAGTTTTCTTAAAATATTTCTAAACCCAAATCACAAAAATACAATTTTATTTACCAAGGAAGGCACAAATCCATTAAATCTGGCACTGGTTTGGAAACTTTGGACGGAAGTAAATAAATTGAATCGAATATCCACGAGAATACAAATTTTTGGGATGGTGCAATTCAGTTTTCTTAAAAATTTTAAACCCAAATCACAAAAATACATTTTATTTACCAAGGAAGGCACAAATCCATCAAATCTGGAGCTGGTTTGAAAACTTTGGACGGAAAAAATAAACTTGAAAAAAACGGAAACTCGAATACAATGCTTTGTTAAAAGAACTGAACACTACACTTTCAATATGGACGGCAATCGCTACATATTGGCATATACACCACACATAGAATTTAGTATCTATCATTTAAGTATCATTTTGTACATTCCATTATTGTATATGTGTATATTTACTTTGAATTATAAAATCACTGCTAGCAAGCAGATGATCGGTTGCAATGTCGTCAGTGTATTCCTTACAACAAATAGTTCGAAATTTTGTGACAGAATGAGGAAGCCAATAGAATAGAAAGTTGTGTTCCAATTGGACTGACGTTAATTCATGGATGGAATCGACCTGTGACAAAGCAGTCTCTGAATACAAATGTATTGTTTTGTTTCTCCTTTTTTCAATTCATTTGAAAAGCTTGTGACTTGTACTGCCTAAACCACAGCTCTGGAATGTCGTATTCAGATTAATGCTAGTCATGTCGCTGCTGTTTTGAATATTGAACAAGAATGAAAAATTGGATTTTATTCCTCCATTCAATGTTTCAAGTGAAAGCGAACACTAACTCTCATTTACATTTTTCATGAACATTTGTGAGAAAAATTTGCCATCAAACTGATGAATGTGTCGAACGTACCCTCCACAGGTTTGTTCTTCGAATCACGTAACACTTTTACACCTGTTTTTCCTAACGCTGACTCTGTACACAGGAGAAAACCTTTGCCTTCAGCCAATGATGGATAATCTTGTGCAGTCAGATGGAATGTTACTGTCCTGCATTGCCAGGTGGGTGCTGGCCGTGTGCCGAGCTCTGCTGGATCGGGGGTTGGGTCGGGGGTAGGATGTGGCCACCCTTCCTGGACAGCAGACTGATCTCCTCCTTTAGGGCCTCTATCTCCTGCGCTTGCAGCTGTTGGATCAACCAAATCAAAATAAGGCTTCGTCTCAGTACTTTTAAGGAGTAAGCTGCAAGTTAAATATGCTCCTTTGACGACTCGGATTAATCACTGAGTAAAACTTGACAACATCCCTCAAAACACACGTGCAACTGGCACGCTAAATCATGCGAGGTTGTTCTAATGACATGTTCTGTGAGACCTGTTCCTCTTCCCCCTCAGAATTTAGAACAAAGGAGCTTTCGTACAGAGGAATCTAAAGGCTACATTAATTTAAGGGAACGAGACGCCCTCGCTACTTGACAGAGACACAGACACTATCACAAGACCAGTTTTAGGGTGAATGATAAAGGAATTTTTTCGGTGCAGTTCACATGAATAGCCTGTGCCCTGAATTCAGACTGGAGGTCCTGTGTTGGTCTTGTTAAGTCTCGTAGGGTCTTGTGATGGTCTAAAGAGGTCCCGGCTACAAAAACGGGCCCCCATCCCTTTGTTGTCAGTAACAGAGTGACCAAACCATCTTGAGGAAAGTCCCTATGATTCCAGAAGTTGCGGCTGATACCTAGGCCTCCATGAGGAGGGCCCTCGCTCACCTGAACCAACTGAATCAGCCGTCCTCTCTCCTCTAGATCTGCCTTGCGACTTCCCTGGAACTCGCCGCCCTGTGAAACAGCCATAAAAAAAATATATAAAAACTGCCTTCGCATCCACACAGCAAGGCTTAAAACCCTTCAGTACGACCAAAACCAGCTCTGCTTGTGAACCCTGTGCAAAGCTCTGCACTCCTGCCCAGCCATGCACTGTCCTGTAATATAAATCCCACATAGGTCTCTCTCTAATGGCGTCACTTCCTACAAATTGCCATGTTCATTGGCATTTGTTTCCTTCAATTTCCGGGAAGCGCATCGGCTGCACCGTATTTCAAGCATATTTAGATCAGCACGTGCGTTACTTTTTGCACACCGCGAGTACACGCACCTGTTTGCGTTATATACGCAGTTGCAATTTTCCTACAAAGAGGGCGTCCAGTGAGAGAGATCTATTTGAGAATAAGCTTTCCATGTGCACCCAAAATGCAGAATGTGATTTTGGACTCCCCGCCATGCAACAGTACATTTGCAAATGGGTCCGCATTCTTCATTTCAAATTCATTTTCGTTATTATAATTACTCAGTTCTTTATTATCCAACATGATACATTGTTAGTTGCCTTCAAGAAGCACCAGAATATTACGTGAGCAAGACCACCAGGCTTGTTGATAAACTTGACAGATTATCGGATGAAATTTGTGTTCACTGCATACAAAAGCCACAAAAACCAAATGTTACAACACGTACTATCTCTGATGTACATCACTTTGAAAGTGCACTAATGTTCTTGAGACACAATATTTAAGAAGTATTTTCCTTTTTAGATTTCTTGCACAAGTTAGTCCCATACCACAGGACATTGTGAAAAAATGATTGTTTTTGGCCTACAACCAGCGAAGACAAGCAAACGCAGAATACAGACTTTAACATGCAACACAAGCAAACACATGCTAAGGAGCTCCACATGATAACCAAATTCTTTTATACTGCAGAACAGATGAATAGTTTTTCAAACAAATTTCAACAGCTAATTACCGACTTGGATCCTTGGGTCTGCATGCGTTAAAAGGAATTCAACAAAGTTGTTAGATATGGTCATGAATATGGACTCGTCCGGTTGTGTGCAATTACACCACGACACAACCCGGTGTGACATGAGCACGTGCTGGCAAATTACCAAAACAAACTGAAATATTGTGCAAAAACTCCTTCCAAGATGTCCCTCGTGGGGTCCCTAAAGCTTTGCAAGATGTTCTCGGCGGATATCACTGGTACGATGTGCACTGAGTAAAGAGGCTGTAGGCATTGCGCTATGTGAAGCGAGAATTATCCGACATTGTATAGAAATCGTGCAAAGCGAAGACAGCGTGCAGAAATAAATACAAAATAGCTTGGGATAAATCAGGCTGCATCCAAATCTGTTGTCTAGAGCTAGGTCTAGGTCCTCACTCCAATGGAAATGTGTGGAGATGCGCAGACAATAGACCTAGCCGTAGCTCTAGAAGCCCGTTTCGGACACGGCCTCAGCTACCTCAAAAATGACGGTCAACTCATAAAATGTTTCTAGATATGTGCAACTCCATCTCAAGGGAATGGTAACAGACTGCATTATGACCGCTGAGATTTGGGTTTAGGTGGGAGAGGGGACATAATTTTTTTTGTAGGGGGGCCGAGAGTGTTGATATTTGTCGTGGTGGGATGAGAAAGGGTTTGGGACCGATGTCGCTCAAACCACATCCTTCAATTTCCATTGCTCTACTTCGAAAAGCCAGCCATTGCCAAGGGTTACGTTTGTCTCTGTGGCAAGATGGCGTGTGGCCTAACTTAAGAGACTAGAATGAAATGGAGTGCCGTGGTCCAGGGGTGCTGGTATTCCATTCAAGTTTGATGGCAAGCAGATTCAAACCCAACATTCATGACTGTGCTTGTGTCATTTGGGCAAGACATTCAACCACGATATTGACCTAAATGAAGAATGTTTTGTTGATATGCACTTTCCAATGGGACCTTGATGGATCTCTTCCTACCCCAGTGCCATAGCAAAGTGCACATGTAAACAAAGTGGGACGCCGTTATATTACAGGTCTGATGCCTCTCTCCATCCAGGTGTAGAAATAAGGATCGGAGAGGGCAGAGATCCAATTTACGCTGATCGCGAGCTACTGCAGTAAAACTGATCTAATGGCCCAATGAACAGGGGTAATAGGCCATTCTTAGGTTGCCCACTATTTGTACGGAGGGCCAAATCACCCAATGTTTGGTGTCAGATCAGTGTTCGAGGCGAATCCCTCACGAGTCCTTTCACAAGTCTCTTGACAAGTCCAACAGTCCATTTGAATAGCTAGTGCGTCGGCTTCTGACTTGTGACGGACTGGGCTAAAACACTGTCAGATTTTACCTTCAAATGCACATTGCCCCATTTATTTTACATGAGGTTGTATTTCCATTCAATACATAATAATAGTATGTGCTATTTGGTGTTTTGATGTTTATCTCAGATTTTCAATCCTTGGTACATCATACTTTTCCTTTTGTATACTGATGGCCCGCTATAGTTTTATCAATCACTGCTAGGCAAAACTATGACCTGACACAGAAAGAGCAGACCCTATTACTGTGAAGTGCTTTGAAACGGCTGTGATAACCCCTTTTATATTAAATGCCAATTATCACAGTGGCTCAGAGTTGTTGACACTGTCTTGTGCTTTGGCAGAAATGGCTGACTGAAGCAAAGGGCGTCGGCCTGCTTACCAGGTTTGTCTGCCTTGCATCCAGTGCCTTCTCCAGGTTCTTGTTCTCCCCGACCAGCATGGTCAGCTGCTGGAGACGTAGGGTGTTCTCCTCAATCAGCTCAGTGATGCGGGCTTTCTTGGCTTCAATCTTGCTCTACAAAAGCGTGGATACCAAAAAAAAAAAGAAGTCTTCAATTTGTGAACATTTGTGTATTGTGCATTCATTACCTGCAGTCTGCCAAACATTTGGGGCTATTTCTTGGCTTTCAATTTCTTGAAAGACTTAAGAAAATGATATTTCTGACAAAAACGTTCTTGTTTTTCAAAACTCTGAGAATAAAACAATTGAGTAGGAATTTCAAAAAATTCCACTGAATTAAAATATTTAAAAAATATGAACTTCTGGTGAGCCTGAGTCGATGTTCATGAAGAGAACAGACTGCAGTGGCAGTGAACTGAATTTTCTTTTTAACTGCACGCTAAAAACAGCACTTTGACCGGTTCTTGGCAAGTACCAAGACACACTTAACAGGACAGCATTTAGACCAAGCAGATAGACACGAAAGTATGCCAGCTGCCAGGTACTGACCCAAGATGTGGAGGTTTTCAAGCTTGTATTTATGTCTGGTCAGGCAAAGTTCTTCCTAAGTAAACTAATGCGGGAATTCAGTGAGCTCGCAAATACCACAGGATCGGAATACAATTTCAAAGTATCACAATTCACGTAGGAGTAATGACTCACAACTCACGGTAATGATGCACTCATACTCACATCCCACTTCTGCAGCTCGTTGGCATTGGCCAACTCGTTGAGTCGCAGCTTCTCCTTCAGCTCCTCCACGGTCCGGTTGACGCCCACCGTCTCCAGCTTCTCCAGGTCGATGATGCGGCCAAACTTCTGCCGCATCATCTCGTTGCACTTCTCCTCCAGCTCGGTGATGCGGGACTCCATGAGCTTGCGGTCCTTGATGAGCTGCACGTGCTGCTGCCGATGCTCCCTGCCACAGTGATATAGACAGAGAGATACTGAGACAGTGGCTGTGTGCAGATTACTTGGCTGCGGCTTGAAATTGTCACTGCTCAACCTGTTCCTTGTGATTGGTCTTGTGAGACGTCTTGTGACTGGATCTGTGAGAAGACTTGCGATGGACTCAATGACACTTGTCAACTGTTTGAAAAAAGCCGGGAGCAGGGAAATTTGCTTGATTTACTGACTTGTAATGCCTTCTCTGAGCCGTTTTCTCCTCCTTGAGCTCCTGGATACGGTGCTGCAGGCGAGCCATGCTGGCGTTATTGAAGACCAGGACCTGGGAGAGATCCTGGGGGACCGCCCCGTTGACCATGTACTCCACCTGGTGCAGTCGCAGCGTCACCACCACGTCCAGCTCGTTCAGTTTCTGCTGCTTCTCCAGCTGTGGGCAAGGCACAAGGATGGATAGAGAGAAGAGTCAGGCGTTTAGTTCGATCACTAGTCATCGCAAGACTTAAGACTTGTTCATATCCCAAGTCAATGGCAACTCTCGGTTCAAGTCATAAGCCATTCATATGAAATGAGACAGAAGTGTTCCATTCAACTCTGGCACTGCTGATCTACTCTTTACCTGTGAAATGCATTATGACTGGACTTGGTGATTCTAACTCTCGAATCCGCTCCGAGCGGAACAAAAGAGGGCGTGTTTTTTTTGGTACTCACCGCATAGGCGCACCCTGAGGCGCGGAAGTACATGCGCATTTGACGCAGAGCACGATGAGTATGCCCAACTAATTTATTCCGGCATGTATGGTCTTTGCATACACGCAGAACATGTGCAAGAACCCGCTTGTAAGCACCTGTCTTTCTTTCGCCGATTGGGGGTGCACTTCAGCTCGGGGTGGATTACCACCCAAGGCTTCAGAATTGAAAAGGTAGGTCCTAAGAGTAGAATGATTTTTCTGTTGTAAAGAAGCCATAAGCTTTAGTTTCACAAGGAGTATAGAGCAATTGCATGAAATGGGAGTTAAATGATGCAATCTTTAACCCTAACACTCCTCAGTCCTCCAACAGGTGAAGGATTGAGGAGGGTTAGGGTTAAGCAACTTTGAGTCCTCAATCCTGATTAGAAGCCCATACTAACAGTTGTGACGTCTTATCCTGCTTAGGGCATATCACATCTTTGTTTTTTTTGCTACAAAGAATGGCATTTCAATTCAAAAGCAAACAGTATATAACAAAATTTGCTCCAGACAGTGAAAGAAGTCTCCTTGCCAGCATATCCAAGCCATAAAAATCTCCTTAGTATTATTGGTATTATTGGTTGGGGTCCCGTGGCAGCAAGATTGTAAATGTCTCTCCACAGGCTAAAACCCAACAAGAATACTGTTGGAAACAGCAGAGATTTAT